TACTCCTGTGATAAATTCTCTGAGTTTTTGTGACAGCAGATATCTTGCTGAGTCAGGTAGATGAGAACAAACAATGTCCACTGGGATCGGTTATATTGAATACAGAGTTACTCCTTTTATCGTTCCTGTTCAAAACAGCTGTTTTCAAACAGTAACTAGTCTGAATCACGTTGAGCAGCGATCAAAAAAATTCGACCTGAATAACGCTACTATTTGGTAACTGTTACGGAAATTCCTTCACGATGCATAGGAATTTGTAAAGATTCTCTGAAAAGTGCTGATTGGATTATTAACAATTCTTTTTGACCACCAGGGAGTTTCTTCAAACGAGAAAAGAGCAGAAGCAAACCACTACTACCATACCGACGTCAGCTAATGAAGATTTATGCAGGATTTACATTGAAGGGGGTAGAAAAGCTTATCAAAAGCAGCTCAAAAACGAAGTAGGCTGAAGAAGTGCTATCGAAATCTTTGCGACTACACTGTTCTGCCATCAGCCTTTATGAATGAAGATAGGACTATCACCATATCCTGCCATAGGTACGGAATTCCTCACAAGTAACTCTATACCAGTCTTTTCGCTTTCCTTTTCGTATTCGACTCCGATTTTCCGTTACAGTAAACCTGCTCGAGATTTTTTTTCGGAATTTTAAGTCATAAGGGTGTGATAGGCGCCTCAACTTCAAGTCCCGCTAGTGTAAAACCCAACTTTCTTCGAACTGGGAGCCATACTGTAAGTGGACTTCTCTCATCCCACTTCAAGTGAAATCTCACCTTCAAAAGAGAAAGATTTAGGCTTGTAGAGGAGGTCACAAGCGATCATCGTGCCCAAGAACGGTGACCGTAGGATTTTCGTGAGTAACGCACGATATGCTTATGAGGTGTGCTCTACAAACCATTCGCGAAAGTTAACCTGCAGCGCATATGAAAAGGACTTTGGATATGAAAGAAATCTAGTGCACATACCTCATTGAGACCGTGTAGCAGTTCATAGGAGTTCATCGAGAGAACGATAAGCCGCTTATCTTATTTGACTTATATTTTATCGGCTAGGAAAAAGCACTTGAACTTGTTGAACCAAGAGCAATCTTATTAGCGCTTGTTGATCAAAGAGTTAAGTTGTCATTTACAGGATTGATAGTTGATTGTTATGGCAAGTACACCACAAATTACAGCTTTTCTGACGACTCAATGTCGCTCTCATAAAAACGGGTTTGACAAGGCGACACTATACCGCCAGAGCCTATGAAACGATTAGAAAAAAGTCCAGCTTAAGATCAGAGAATTAGAAAATCATGCATAGAAATAAAAGAAACACAAAATAAACAGACTACAGATAGACCATAGAGGGTGCACCGTGGCCAAGTGATTGTGATGCTCATTGCAACGCGCGCAGCTAGACACCACCTTCCAACATTCTCCAGCATTCAACAACGAACGCCCTAAAAAACGTCACAGTCAGGCTGTCCTCGAAATTTCAAAGAGCCGTGCTCAACGAGTCAGTGTTGTACTAAGTTCAAGAGGAGGACGGAAAAAAAATAAGTACCAGAAACACTGGGATCCGCACAGTGAAAAAAAAACTTTGTGAAGAAGGATCAATCATGTGCTAGAAGTGCATAGATAAGATATCAGCAATATTGTAGAACCGAAAGGATCACGAATGTATTGACTTCGTTTTAGTACTAGTTTCACTAAATACAGTGCCCTAGTATTGGGTTTTCAGTGGAGGATGCTTTGATTAGTTCAGCTTTGTTGGAGATTGAACTAGAGTAGTTAGGCTTCGGTGCATATTGCGAGTTAGTGTGTGTTGTGTGCCGGCTGGGTTACTCGATTCTGTTAATTTTTTCTGCTACGTGGATCTTCTACTATTTATTTTACTATTTATTTGATGGCGAACAGTGTTGGTCGTGGGACCAACGAACCATATTCATCGTCATAACGAAGAACCTATAACAAAAGAACAACTGCAACATAAACTACAGTGCGCTATGACCAAGATAATCTAGAGCCAAGAGAGGTGAAAGCCGCAGCCGAGCTCCAAATAGCGTCTGTAGATGAATGGAACTACTGTGAGCGTGACTCTTTCCCAAGATTCTGCTTCGGTTTAGACTGTGAATAGCTGTCAAGCACAACACTACTTAAATCTGTGAAATACATTTTGTGGTTACCAATTGAAAGACACGAGTCTTTCTGTTGTACGGGCATACGGCCGGCTGGTGTTTGAATCAGAAGCTGGCTACTGTTGCGCAAATGCATCGGCCAGCTGGTATGAGAAACACGACCCGGCTGGTATGACTCACTGTACAACGAATAATCATAGTGATTATCTGGAAGTATCGGGCTTATAAGCTAACCCATTTAACAGATCACATGACATGTTGGCTCAAATAATATTGACGAGATATCTGGAAATAGATGCACTGATAGTCAAGAGCATAGAAGATAAGAAAAATTAACAATTATTCGGTTTGGTAACTGCTATAACGCATATATGCGCTTGTTGAAAAAAGAAATTACGTGTAAGGTGGATTATGAACGACAGGAACCTCGACATCGATTTGCGTCAATTCTGAAATTATTAGGTCGTTTCATAGGTTTTGGCACTGGAGCAATAAACACCAGGTCTATTGACTAGGAGTGATTATATTATTATGATTTTGGTATCTTTCAACTGTGCAAATTCTCGCGAGCATTTTGGTATATAACTCGCCCACATTTGCGTTAAGATGGAGCTGTCGCGAGAACAAATCCGCTTGCTACTCGCGCGCAACGTTGCATAAGGGAGAATGTCAGTGGAGCGGCGCGCAAGATTAATGGAGCTTCCTGTGTACGGCCCAAATGCAACTGAACCTCCAGACTGTTTCTCTCCAGCTTTAAACTTCGCAAAGCACATCCCACTCGTGTTTCCTGCAACTCCTTTATGTAAGCGCATAATTGCCCCAAGCTTTATCAATCTTGCGCGCCGTTTCACTAGCATTTTCCTCCACGCGCCATTCGCGCATGGGTAGCAAACAAGTTTGAGCCCACGACAGCTCCATCTTAAAGCAAGTATAGGCAAGTTGTATACCACAATGCTCAGTTAATCAATACCAAAATCGTGCAAGTTTAATTTTTTTGCAAATAACTTTAGTGTACATTGCTCTAGTGCCAAGACTTATGGAATGACCTAGTAACGTCATTCGCACAAGGGATAGAAAACTATGGCTTTCACTAAAATCAAGGAAATAGGGAATTAGTAGCATATTTTGCTGAAACGGAGGATCTTCAGCTAATCATAGTAATGAAATCAAAGACTGAACTTTACTATTTCATTGTAATTCATGAATTTGAACATTTTGAGAGAGAATCTCCTACCTGGACCTCAATTTCCAATAAATGCCCTTGAAATTATTCATATGTACAATGAGGGCGGCATGGCTCTTTTTCACACCATAGTTGACTCTCTCCGGCATTTATTTCTAAGAGGTACTCAGGATTGGCTACAGGCTTTCATCGTTTTATCACTTGACTTGCGCAGTTTCTGTCACTATGAGAACAAGTGCTGTTCGATTGACGATGGAAAGTTGAAAACAAATGGTGCTCTCCCTTATCTTATCTCAGCAATACAACTCCGACTTTTGATTGACTTCTGTCTAGTTCAAGAAAATTTTAAAGATATTTTTAGTCTGAAATTTTTAAAGATATTTTTAGTCTTGTAAGGATCTGATTGTTTGTGTAATCAGAGTCTGGGTTCCTTGAAATCGTAATGTATGCTAAAATAAAGGCGGAACAGTTCATGTCAATATTTTTATGCCACCCATTCTATTTGATTATCACGACCTGTCGTAGTTCCTTGAAATAGATTTCCAACAATTTATTTTCCTTCAGAATTTCTTGTGCTATTTCAACACACAGTTGATGATTATTGTTTTCAATAGTCTTGACGACTTTTCGAAAATCGAAATTCTTGGGAAGTCGAGGACTTTATAACGCATTGTCCAACACAGTAATTGAAAAGAGCAGAAGACTTACAATCCCACTAAGAATACATGTGGTACTTATTAGTCCTTGTCTTTATGGAGAATTGACATTTGATTTTTATTTCAAAATATATTACACATAGAAGATAAATGTTGGATGCTTAGCTTAATCGATCAGGTCTGAGTTACGCGCTATCCGTTAGGCTTCATTGCGTTCAATAGTGCTGATTTAATACATAACCACCCTATATAGTGATTTATTGTGGTCTGCTGATTTGTTAAGGTTTTATTATCGTAGACAAGTTGAGAGTCAATTTCTTGACCTCACTGAGGTGGAAGTCTTGCTTCGTACTAAGTGCAGGATTCAAGCAAAGATCCTTTTCGTGTGGAGGGTATCTCTGTTCACAAAACTACACGCAATATAGAACCATGACTATCAACAACAAGTGATATTAAGGCATTCAACCTCGCAACTCCATAGCGTGAAATTTTCCATTCATTTTCAGTGGCAATGCTGGCTTGCGAAGGAGAAAAGGTATAGTTGCGTTTCCACATGAATAAGACCGAAAAATGCATTCAAGATAAATTAATCCATAGGAACATAAGGAAAAAATCCTCATTTTATTGTGATCGACTAATGTTTAATATCATAGATACTAGAATCGAACAAAAAGTTGTGGGGGATTTTTGGAGGTTTTGTTTCGATGTCCAAATTGACAGCAAAAGCAACAATAACTACTATTCAAAATATAAACCACCATTATGGGTTCATGCGGATCCTGGCGAGGCTCATTGAGGGGAAAGTCAAATCGATCTCACTTGTAGAATGGTCCGCTGAAGAACACTAAACTCTTCAACCAAATCACGAGTGCTCGATGAAAGCTCAGTATCTAAAGCGACTTGCCAGTCACTTTTATCCAAAACATACAGCCAGTCAGATGGAGGCACATCTTCGAAATCCAAATTGCCTTCTTTGAAACGCTTAAATTATCTGCTCTTCAAAACATCTACTCAATGATGTTGAGTCATGTACAAATCCTTTGCATCGATCGGGACTCGAATCCGCATTCCACCGTATCCAGGGGCGCGTGCTAACCCGTTGCACTATCGACGCCTATTTTGCCGCCACCACGGGCTCACGAGCGCAATCCTTGATATGCAATTGAATGCGACAGAAATTATTTCCAAAAGTGAAGAATTTCAAGACATGTTGGCGTTAATTCTTTAAAAACACGCTTTTGAAAGTTCTTTCGATGATAACTTAATTTTTTTTTTGCAAAAAATTTCACATGAATCTAATTCGATTATACAGTCCCAAAAAATCCACTTTGAGTCAGAAAAATGACTACGCTTGGAAAACGTGAGGATATCGTCGAAATCAAACCTACCTTCCTTGAATTCTTGAAGCCATCTGCTCACAGTCGATTTTGTCGTGGTACCTTCACCCTATCAATCACATCGACGGCTTTATGAATCGTTAAACCTTTTCTCCAATAGTGGCGGATCAACACACGCGAATTATATGTTCGATAGGAATTTTAGAGGTGAAATCAATAAACTAAGATACATAATTGTCAATAAATTAACGACACAGCGATATCAAAAACGAAGCTTTCAATAATTTCGCGGGACCTTTTACTCAGCTTAATAAAACACTGTCTTCCTTTGTCAGAACCTCTACAACGACTGAACTGTGAGTTAAATGATGTTTGCTAATGATGAAAACGCTTTTCTGATTAGCGAACACGATACCGATCATATTTAAGCATTTTCTTAGGTGCCTAGTTGGTCATAATTAAGCACTAACACCATCTAATCAAAAAAGCGAGCTTCAGCTCAATCTTAATTTTAATGTTCAACAAATCAATCATTCTTCTATGTGATTACATATTCTGTGGAGCTCCATAATTTTTCCGTACAAATCGTTACTTTACACATCACTCATCATCGATGATCTTCAATTTGCCATTAGTTTAGATTTTAGTTGAGAGATTTTCTTTTTTCAGTGAATTTAGCTGATCAAATTTATCCTCCTTGCAATCTTAGAATTGCTATTTCCAAGACGTTCTCACGATCTTATTAAGTTTACTCGTAGATCTTTGTGGAGCGAAGGAATCGTTTTTCAAACTAGTCGGGAACGAAAAGGTGGTATCTTTGAGCTTTGAGTCGACGCAGTGTCGAACCGGAGACTAAGTGACCATTATGAAGTACCGGTAGCTGGTGCGTTGATTAATAGACACGACCACAGTGTTCAAATTTTATCGTTGTTCAAAAAATATTCAAAATCATACATTGACACATCAACAAACCCAATAAAGTCACTAATTAACAAAGGCAGGAGATCGATTGGAGCCGAAAACGCATATAATTGAATCTGAAATAACAGTACGCATGATTTTTGCATGAATTGTTTCACTAATCATTTTTCAGATCACAAAGAATTACCTAGTATTCTGATGATTATATTAGAATACATTACTTTGCTGATGAAGTTTCTTTACACTCATTGTTCGTCGATGATGTTGTACACAGCCAAGTGATAGCAAATCACGGAAACACCGTCGAAAATCACCGTTGTACATTGTGTATATGATAGGATTCAACACCTACAATATGTCAAATGAAAATTGAAAAAACTCATATAATAGTTAATTATGCCGAGGTTTATAGAAAGTAGAACTTTTGAATTGTTACAATATGTCAAATGACCGTAGAGGGTTAATTTTGTTAATCAATAAAAAACTTTCATCTAACCACTTTTTAGCAGTGTTATGTGTTGTAACTATACAACCAGTGATACTGATTGTTATGCGAAACCTTGAATCTCTGACCAAAGCCGAACTTACATCTAACTAATTCTGATTCTGCATGCTAACCACAGCACTACTTTGACTATCACTTTTCCTTGTGCCCCTGCGGAGGATGGAACGCGCGTCCAACACCTGGCCATATTTCAAGTTTTGTGTTTCACTCATCACCACAGGCCATATAGTCACTAATTTTGCTTTTTAACGACAGATGGTCAAGAAAATGAGGTGCTATTCACAAGAACCACATCACTAACACGATTCCAACTAATGGGGCTTCCATAATGTAGAGAGACATTTGAAGCACTCATTTCTCTTCTAAAGACCGTCTCTTTTAGACCCTCTCAAAATGATGCAACCTGTTAAGGATATAGCATGTTTGAGATAATAGGTTTAATGCATTAGACCTAACAGCACTCATTTCTGGCCAATTCCAAAGTGATCGGTAGAACGACGACTGTTCACTTTGAGTTTTTCGAATGAAATGTTAATCAAGTAATGCTAATGAACGTTGAACCTATAATTTTAGCGAAAGAATACATTGCAACTCATTTCGAACATACCGAATTTGAATAACCAAGCCAAAGGAAGAATTCGTTCACAAGTCTGAAGGCATTAGAGGTATTGACGGTTGTGGCAAACACTTCGATCAAATAGATAACGAAAAATGGCATCCAACAAACGATAAACCCTAAATTTCTTCGCCGTATACAGCTTTTTGTCTCTATAATTATGATAAAGAGGACATGTACAGATTTCATGCATTAACACTCTAGCTCTTTAGTACGAACGTTCTACTTGATTACAGTACGAGTAAACATAGTTTACTTATACTTCTTCTCTAGTTTCCTTACCCATAACAACAATTCCAATAGTTTTGAGCGCTTTTCGCTCTCTCATGTAGACCATCTTCTCCTTCGATCCACGAGCTGCTTTACCTGGACCATGGATGTGATAGTGTTCATAAGCCTTAAATTTAGCAGCTTGTATAATTAAGTATGAAGTATTGATTTTTCTTTGATTCAGCAATTCTTTCAAGGAAAGCAGAAATAATCAACACAAAGATGAGTTGAAAGCACGTCGAATTTGATTCACAGATCCGCAACAAGTGACACTTATTGAGGTGACGCGTATTTTAAACTTTTAGTCTTTTTTAGAGTAGAACAAAAAACCGATTTGGGCAAGAAAACAACATTATCACAAAGCTATTCGCTGTACAATTGCCTGTTACTGATGAGTGCGCAACTACTGATTTTGTGCATATAATCGCAATTAAACGACATGATCCACTGAAGGTTTACGTTCGTAGTGGGTAATGATGCCGCAAATGTGTCAAATGTTCACGTCAAATAAAACACACCTCGATGAGGGTACTTAGTTATTCTCAAAAATGAAAGATGATAGCAAAGGATTCTCTCCTTGGTATTGAGTTAGACTGTAAAAAAACTGAGTTCGTGTAGATTGCTTTGTCAGAAATTTTCGTCATCGAATAAGTTCGTGTACCAAGCCATACTTTTTGAATATCCTCGAAGCTTCTTCATTGTTAACGTTGCTACGAGCGTCACTTTTGGGATATATCACGTTCAGAATTTTGGAAGGAATAATTTTTGCCTAGAAAATTAGTAAACGGTAGACATCCTGGACTGAGTGAAAATATTTAGTCTTACCAATTGCGCTGAGAGAGCACATTCTTGAATAGCTTCAGAATTCAGCGTGTAACTATGATTATAACACCATTTCCCTGCTGTATTTATATTTTCATGCTTACCATTCATAATTTTCTGGTGGAATTTCCAAGTACGACTCTCATATGGATTACCTTCGCCAACAAGTTGTTCGGTTGCAGTCGGGCATGTACAGCCTGTGCTCGGCGTGTCATGGATGGCACTTCCGCATTCACATCAGTGCTTTTCCGTTTCGGGAAAATCTGCGAAATACACAACTTTGTTTGCAAAATTCTTTTTTTTTGATAAAATAAGCATCTGCGAACATGTTCTCCGTTAGTAATGTCGGCCATTGAGTAACATTCTCTTTGCATGATATGTGTTGCTCCATGTACTCCTTCACAGTCACCATACGATGTGAACAACATTGTGGACATCTGAGATTTAACAGATTTGATTTGACACATATCACAAGTACACATCAATACAGTAGACACATTTCAATAACGAGATGACTGATCTTAAAATGCATCCATCGTCTTACCGTTTTCTTGAGTCATCCAATAGCAACAATTGAATGATTTAGTGCGTCATTCACTTAGTGGACCTCATTAAAATGACTAGGTGAATTATCAAGGGACGAATTGTTCAGCTTTATTGAATTAATTTACCTCGATGCTCTGTAGAGGAGAATCCTCGCAGTCGGTCGTGCGCGACTCTTGGTGAACCATCGAATCATGGGCTCTTAAAAGACAATTTTCGGTCTTGCTTTGACGAAAAAAATTATAAAAATTTCAAGTTAAGTGTATATATATATATACATATGTATATATATATATATATATATATATATATATTATATATATATATATATAAGGTGGGAGTAAAGTTCTGTCAATTTTGTGTATTGCTAATTATAGCAGTGATATGATATCTTCTTATCAATTTGGTAATTTTATATATTTTTTGCTTGATTATGGTTCAGAACGTGTTTTATTGATTTGTCTCTTTTCAGTTGTACCCAGATTATGGATCGTAAAGAAGAAAGCATCGCAGTAGCTGAGTAGCACAAGACGGGAATGAAAACGGCTGACATTGTTAAAACAACTGGTTTCAACCCAATAAGTGTCTACAGAGCCGTGAAGCGTTTCAAAGAGTCTGGAAGGACTGGTACTGTCCTTAAAAAGGTCGTCCAACCTCTTCGTCTGCTCCAAAAAACATTCAGAAGAAACGTTGCCATATTCAACGAAATCAGGAGCGTTCAATGCGCAAAATGTCAAGAAAGGTCGTGATCAGTGAGTGGAGCGTCCGAAACATCTTCAAAAAAAAAAAAGCGAGTCGAGTCGAGCAGCGACAAGATCGCTGGTGTTCGCAAACCATGGGCCGCAGCCAGTTTCCGGCCTCTGCGCTCATCTGGGACACCATTTGCGCCACCGAAAGGCGCAGTCGGTCTTCATCAACGAAAACGTTAAAATTAACGCTGTCAGTTATTAGGCAGGTTTTACGGAGCATACTGGAATCTTGGACTACTCAGCACTCTAGAGCCGACGAACCTGAGCTTTAGCATGACTCGGCTCCTAAGCATTCGGCCCACTCAACGATTGCCATTTGTCAACAGGTGCTTTCAGTCTTCTGGGGCAGGG